TATGTATTTTAAAATGTAATTTATTCCTGTGATGCAAAGCTGAATTTTCAGCATCATTACTCCAGTCTTCAGTGTCACATGATCCTTCAGAAATCATTCTAATATGCTGATTTGCTGCTCAAGAAACATTTATTATTATTATCAATGTTGAAAACAGTTGTGCTGCTTCATATTTTTGTGGAAACTGTGATACTCTGATGAACAAATTTCAAAAGAAGAGCATTTTTTTTTAAATATAAATATTTTGTAACATTATAAATGTCTTTACTGTCACTTTTGATCAATCTAGAGCAGGGGTTTTCAACCTTTTAGGACATGCGCCCCCCCCCAAGTTGGTCTAATTTCACTCGCTCCCCCCCAACATCCAACAACCCCCCCCCGCATTACTGTAGTCACACCTAATTACAACGTGGTTGGATTTCCGACACGGCTAATCGTAAATAATTTTGCACTGTCAATAAGCGTGACCAGGGTTGCCAGGTTTTCACAACAAACCCCGCCTAATTGCTACTCAAAACTAGACCAAAACTACAAAACGCGGCAAGTGTTAAAGTAGCCCAATTCCATGGGAAAACCGCGGACTTGGCAACACTGAGCGTGACTGATACTCTAGCCAACTCTGCTCTAACTGTCGACTAGCAGTGGGAGTCAGATTTCCCCCTAGTGGATGGCTAAAGATTTGTTAACTCATATTCATAAATTCTCAAGAGAACGTCTCTGAATTAACTGATGCTCGCGCCCCCCTTGACAGGCGCTGGGCCCCACAGATTGAAAACCCCTGCTCTAGAGGGGGAACAATCTACTCAGCCCAAACTTACTAAGCAGGATCCATCCGGCTTAACACAGGAAGGAACATTCTCCATAACCACTCTAGGTCACTGAAACACCCTGGGAGAGAAGCTCATAAGGTCTCTCCACAGAGCATTGAATATATCCATGCACAGCGAGGCTCTCCACACACACTAACATGCATATTAGCGAGGCACAGCTGAGCTGAAAGGAACTGAGATAAAATATCCAAAAACTACTTGCACAGTGTAATATATTTCATGCAGTTGTGTACTTACATTATTCCAAAAGTTCCCAAGGATTTGTAAATCCAGAGAAATTCCAGTTTTAAATAATGGCTCATCCCTGGTCATTGTCGCCTATCAATGACCTAATATTGGCATATCCCCAGTTTCCGCTTGTAGAAACTATGGCAACACACAGACACAAATGCTGCTGTACAGTTAAACTAAATCCTTTATGGCTGTCGTGAATAAAATGAAAATTAAATGAAAAGGGTTGACCGCAGCATTAAATTTAGATCTGCTCAACGTTGCGCCATGATTTTTTAATGCGTTTTTATAATGTTGCACATTATAACCAATCACACAGGAGTCTGTTGAGCTTATGAATGCAATGGCCAATCAGAAGCGTTCAGATGAGTTTTTGTTCAGTGTATGCTTTCGCTGACTGAATTCAGTTCTCACACGCATCTCTCATCATAAACAACAAAGTGCAGATGTACGAATGATGTATGAAATTCATTTATCAAACCGTGTATAGACAGCTTTAATGATTATAAGGAGAGTTTTTTGAGAGTGCGTATACTCGCGCTTGACCAAAGTCAGTCACAATGTTCTTTGCATGCTTTCTCTTTACAATTTATTCGCTGTTTGAATAACTGTGGAAGATACAGGTAATAAAAAAAATAATTCATAACCTCATCCGTGAACATCCTCCTTCATAGTGTCATCAAGCTTCACCTTTGTTATTGTTTTGAAAATGCAACCTCTAGCGGCGAAAACTTACATATTGTGCCTTGAATATAGTACCGCCCATGACCTCGTGATCTCACATGCTTGGAGCTAAAAATGATATAGCAACACGAGCATTATCTGTGGCAAAGGCATTATCCGCGGCATCAGGCAACCCGATTGTATAGGGTATGCGGACACTGCAGATCAGAGCAATCGGCGCGAGCTGAGATAGACCGTTCCGTGGCCTTAGACACAAACGCTTTGCCCCGCATCAATCAGAAATAGGAACAAGCGCGAGCGTAGCGTTATCATTGTGACTCATCTCAATGAGCGCGTAGATGCCGAGACAAAAGCCCTGTTTCACACCGCAGGACCTTTTCCAAGGAACTAGGAACTTTGGGCCGGTACTCGGTGTGTTTCCACTGCAGGAACCAGGATCTAAATAAAGTTCCGGATAAAAATTTGCCCCTCAGAAAGTCCCTGCTCGTGAGGTAGTACTTTTTCAAAGGTCCGGAACTTTTGGGGGCGGGACTTGGACGCTGAACATGCTGATTAATTGAGTTCATGCAGCATTGTATTTCAACCACCATTTATTCACATCATTTAAAAAAAAATATTACTGTTATTGTGTCATGAAATGTAGTTTTAAAAGTATTTCAGGCGAGAATGCAGTTGTTTAAAACTAAAATCTGCGTCGATTTCGTTGATGTGAGCTCCACACGATCAGCGGGCGCTCAGTGCTCATGTTTCCCGATGAGAGCAGCCTCAACTCGGCTAGTCCTTCTGGCATTTGCTGCTGGCTCTGATGTCTCTGTAATGGTTAAACATAAGATATAATTCGTTTTGGGTAAATCTAACAGGTAATCTTTGGTCTTTATTCTATTAATCTATTAATATGTTAAATTGAAAATAAAAAGGCAATACTGTTTGATATAATATTTTGTTTCATTGTAATGTATGCATGTTCCCTGAACTACATTTATGCGGCTATTCATATGTTTAAATGAAAATAAAAAGAGGCAGTGCTGTTTGATATCATATTTCGTCTTATTGTACAATGAAAATTGCAGTAGCCAAGGCGAGCTGACTGATGTTATCAAGTACGCAGCTTTTTGCAGAATTACCGGACTTGCGTCGTTCCGTCCGAGTCGATCTCGCGAAGTCTGAACTACCGAGGATGCAAGTCTGAAATTTGCACACTTGGTATTGAGAAATGCGCGCAGACCTACGTCACCAGACTATTTGCCTAATATTCTTGGTACTTTAGACCGCAATGGAAATGCAGACAGCAATAGGTCTGGGGGGGGGGAAGTTCCTGGGACAAATTGTTCCAGGTAATTTCGGTGGAAAAACGGCTGAAGTCGCAAAAGTTAGAATATGCCCTCAAGTGTTAGAATCCAAACACGGAGGCACACATTCCTTAAAGCGGTGCTCAACTCACCAGGATGAAATTTCACACGTGAACAAACAGACAACTCCGAAGACAACAAAAGTTGGTGACGTATTCAGCAAGTGCCCTTTATACTTTCGGGTACCTGCCTATAACGTCACGGGCCACGTCCAATAGGATTGGAGTTGTTTTACACATGCTTCAGACACTAGTCATGCTGGCAGCATTCCCCAAAGTGTCCCCTAGAGGGGGATGCAGCTCAAAGTTCCCTTGAAGGGGAAATATTATTAGTCACATTGAAAAGTGGTAAAATGTGAAAATGTATATTCAGAGTAAAGATAACCAGCACTCTGTCATTTTCTCCAGGTGAAATGTGAGAAGTACTGGCCATCAGGGACTAATCATTATCAAATAATAATAATAAAAATAATAACCGTGGAACACACACTATTTATTCACTCATACACTTATTTATCTAACACTCATACTCAGCCTACACCTCAAATTTGCACATAATATACAGTACCTGTACATAAAAAATAAAAAATAAAAAAAAACACTGTCTATTGTAATATACCTGCACACACAATTGTCAATTTATATATTTTTATTCCTTATTTACTTGTTCTATTTTTATTTTTATTATCTGTGTTTTTTGTTCTGTCACTGTCATTCTGTTACACTGTGGAAGCTTCTGTCACGAAAACAAATTCCTCGTATGTGTAAACATACCTGGCAATAAAGCTCATTCTGATTCTGATTCTGATTCTGAAAACATATCTGTGACAACTACCTCAGAGATCGAACTGGAGAGTTGGACCATAAGGGACTTCGGAATCAAAAATGTAAAGCAACACTTCCTGCACCTGCTATTTCCATTTATTCCTTCAGTAGCATACAGGAGTGGAAAAATTTTGTTGTTGTTATAAATCAGTGATATTTTACAATAACATGACTGATAATTATGTAGGTAAAAACAGCAGAAACTCGTAACATATGCCAGTTCCACTTCACGGTGTGGCCAGATCATGGAGTTCCACAGACCACTGAAGTCCTCATTGACTTCAGACACCTGGTTAAAGAACACATGAACCAGTACTCACACCACTCCCCAACTGTGGTGCATTGCAGGTAAATGAGATTCCTATTGACAAGTGTTTATGAATTTATATTACAGTGCAAACATCAAATATCAACTTTGCTATCCGTTAGATTAAACTTTCATCTCATTATTTGACCCTCACATTTTTAGTGCTGGTGTGGGAAGAATGGGGACCTTCATTGCCATTGACCACCTGATCTTCCAGATTGAAAGAGACAGCATGGTGGACATCTACGGAATCGTTAATGATATGCGCATACACAGGCCTCTCATGGTGCAGACTGAGGTAAGGGACTGTAGAGTAATTTTCTAGAGGGATCAGTACAAGTTAAGCTTGTACTTCCTTTAAACATTTTTAAAGTTACAGTGAGGCACTTACATTGGTAGTAAATGCAGCCAGTTTTTAGAGCAGAAATATGAGACTTACAATTTTGTAAAAGCACTTACTGTAACAAAGCAGACTGAGCCAGATGACTTTTAAACCCAAGTGCTTGGATTCTTTATTGAACCCATGGGTGAACAGCAGGTGGAGCAGAAATGGTGGTAGAAATCTGACACAGATGTAGAAGATGACACTATGATTATGCTGTTGGTAATGATGATACACACAGAGGAACCATGAGAGAGTCACGAAGAGAACACTACTGAAGGGTAGTGCAATCAGAGAGTCCTCTATGTAAGACTAAACAATGAGGGTGAGTATGTGATGAGTACAGTATAAATGGAGTCCTTGATGAGGTGAGTGGAGAAGGGGCGCTCTGGTTAACCACATCCCTGAGGAGCTGGATGGTTGGGATAATTGTAGTGGAACACAGTGAGTTGGAATGGTCCAGCCTTGGAAGTCCGGGATGGTCCACAGGAATGGACCAGTGTACTGAGAACATTACTTTCTGCATGGAAAACAGAGACATAGTTTATGTGTAGATAACCAGACATTCTGTCTGGACTGGTAGGAAGAGGTCTCTGATCACTGGGCATCAGAATGGCCTTTCTGATGCCAGACAGCACACTGGCGGAGACAGTTTTGGGCATATTCAGCTCAGGGAAGGAAGTGACTCTAGTACTGCTGATGTTCATGGCTGTAAGTTTTGAGAAACTGGGAGACTGGGCACGATAGCTTGTAAAAAGATTGGCAATAATGCCCAGCAACTTGAATAAAGCTTCTGGAATTGGCATATGAATTGTGCCATCAGGATACAGGTTTGACTACTGAGGGAGGAAGGTTGGTCATGAAGTCCACATCTAGATGTGACAATAGATGGTGAGGAGTGGGCAGTGGAAGGAGCTTTCAGCTGGAAGGTTGTGAGGGACTTTGGACATGATACAACCTGGGCAAGGGATTTGTGTTGTCCCTGGATGCCCAGAGAGAAGTACAAAATATCCAGGAGTTAGTTCCACAGGGCGACATGAACATACAGTTTCCGTTGTGGTGGCTTGGGTTTTTATTCACCCAGGGTCCACTGGATGGGGCTAATGGCAGAAGAAGGAAGAACAAATTCTTGAAGAATGGATTCTGTGCAGAGATTGGAGAATCGGTAGAATGGAGGCACGAGTGCATTCGTGTTAGTATTTTTGAAGCCCAGATAATACATGAAAGAAGCTGAATCTAGAGAAGAACAAGGGCCACCAGGCCTTGTGAGGGTTTGGGGTTCAGGGATTCCAAGTTGCAATGTGATGACCTGGAAGAAATGGTTGGAACCCTCAAACTAGTGGAGACACTCCTTAAATGCTTGCTTAAGTAACTCCCAGTTGCTAATGTCATGCTTCAGCTTGGAGAAAATGGTGTGCTGATGGGTGTTGAGGTGAATGCCTTCTTTAGTTGCTGGAAAGCTTGAGCCACTTCAGATGGTGAGGGCAATGACAATGGAGCTGAAGTTTCACAATAGGCATCGGTCAAAGTTTGAGAAGCTGAGGAACCATTCTTTATTGATGGAT